GCCAACAACCAGGTCATCGGGCACCATGAAGCGATGACGCCTGAAGAGTCGCTCACCAAAAGAAGTATCACATCACATTGTACATCATTGCAATACCATATATAAATATACATATCATATATCATATATACATATTAATATATATATGCATATAATATATCATATATACATAATTTTACATACACACACATACACACACACACTTATAATATATATATATCATATCCATATATACACAATATATTATCTATATAATGGGTCATGGCAGTTTGGCTATGTTTGGCCCATGAGTTGCGTAGCCGCTGGTTTAATGACTTGCCTGACAACCACACCGCAACAGGTGTAGTAGCAGTCCAAGCCCCGGCCTCAGCAAGCGCTCACGAGCGCTGCCCGATATCTTCATCTGGAAGCGAAGTGCCAGCCACAGTGCCACAAAAGTGAACCTGTCATCCAGTGCGTGGTCTGCAACTAGAGATCCACCAGCTTTAAAGACTGTAAAGTGGCATGCTGTCAGCCAAATTCAGCCTTGAAGATGTCCAGATACACATATCCAGCAAGGGTCAGTCAAGCGAGTGTCACTGGCCACAACATGTCACAGGCACGTAGCAGCCCAGGATGTGAATAGCAGCCAAAGGGTGTCTAGCAATCGCTCCTGCACGCGAAAAGTCTCATTCCTTGTTGCCAGAGCTGAGGGAACCAGGATCAAACTCCATGTTTCAAAATACTGCATTCGTTCTTCATGACGCCTCAACAAAGCAAGAGACTTCGACAAAACAAAGGGGCGCACAGATTCTGATTTGCCTTCTACAGCGCACTTTAGTGCACTTTTGATAGCGCGATCTTCAGAAGCCCAAAGTCCCAAGGAGATCCAAGGAGGAGATGCGATGAAATGTGATGAGATGTGCAGGTTCAACCCCCCCACAGCTGTCCGTCTGGACACCGGAGTAGCCCTCGATGGACATGCTGAAGCACACAGCCAAGATGATGCTTCCCATGAGGACGTGTGTCTGCACCTTCGGCAAGGCAAAACCCCACAGATAGGGTATGCTACGGCTCTTATTTGTCAGCCATCAAGACAAAAAGGCGGAAGGCTAGAGCTGTTTGATGCTTCCAATGGCTGAGTTCTGGGCACTTTCCATCCTTGGAATGATAAAACGATGGCATATGATGGCATAATGATGATAATAAGAAAAAACAACCGGGACAAGGTGGTGTTAGTTAGCCATAGGTCCCATGTGAAAACCAGAAGCAGGATTAGCAAAAACCAGTGGCACCAACACAAACCTCAAATAAATATTTCAAAACAAGGCAGGAAAGGAAAGGTTGCTGGGCGATCTTTACAGATTTGGAGGGCTTGCCCTCAGACCGGAGACAGCAAAATAACACACACCACACCGTACCAGACTACAATAGGTGCCGACAAAAAGATTAAAAAAAAAAACGTCAAACCCTAACAGCAAGAAAGCATAAGAGAAAGCACCAAAGCAAATGCAAAACCCCGGCTGAGAATGCGAGTCACTGGCCACCAGCTGCTGTGATTGCTTCCAAACCAATCAGAACATATCAGAACAAAGCAAATGATGGATTTGCAGCATCGAACTAGCCGAGTAACATGCAGCTCTCGTATCGGACCTTCTCAAGCAAGAATATTGAACTTTTCTGCAGAAAGCAGTAGCGGTCTTGTGACCTGATTGGTCAGTTCCTTTGTTCCCCTCAGTGCCCTGATGCAGGCCCCACCTCTTGTCGAAAGAGGTCCTGAGAAATGCAAAGAAATGCCACAGATGCAAAGATTCAGATGATTTCACCGTGTTATGTTCTTACCTTCGAAGTCAGCCAAATATGGAAAGCCACTGATACTATTATAACATCTTGCAGCGCGCCTGAGCAACCTTTGCTTGGTGAGCATCACCGCTGACTGCAACCTCAAGGTCACTAATCGCGCACATGAAAGTATCATGAAATCAAAGAAACATTATCCAAGCATTATCAAGCATTTCAGTTCGTTGCCAGAGCTGGCACACACGCTGGCCATGACATTTCTGTTTGCATGTGATTTCTCATTGCTTCTCATGTGAAAATGAGATATATCGGTCCAAGCAGTTACAATGTCCATGTCCTCCCGGACTTTGAGGCCCCGGCAAAGGACCTCGCAAAACAAAGTGGGTCCAAAACAGTTGCGCAAGACAATGCATGCTGGCTGAGGCTATGCGTAAATTCTCGAAACGGCCAACTTCTATTCCCAGAAAAAAGATTTTAAATAGTGAAATCTAAAAACTCTCAGGCCAGCGATGATTCGCCAGATGCCTTTCGTCATTTTTGTCCTACCGCTAAGGCTCCGGACGACAAGAAGTCGTTGCCCAAGAAAAATGCCTGGCAGGTTGCACAGCCCAAAGGTCAGTGTCTGACATTGGGTGAGGCTTTCCGCAAACTCTTCTATGCTCTAATGCCCTAGGGTTTCACTTCTGGTTTCCTGCTTCGACCAATGGCCGGCCACTCAAATAGATTCAAAATGATTCAAATATTTCAAATAGGTTTCAATGGATAGTGGCGAGCAGCAACTCGACATAGTGGCACTGGAGCGTCAAGGCTCCACAGGCCGGCTGAACATCAGTACCTCTAGCCCATGCCAGACCTGAGATGCCAGGTCATAAGCAGTGACGGCGTTTTCTCATGTCATGTTTTGTCTTCATCTGCTATTGGCCAGATTACCCAGTATTCCCGTATACCCAGTGCTCACTGCAAGTTAACACCAACACTTGATCGGTACTTACGTAGGTCCCTCACTCGTACTGACGATTCATTCGTGTGGAAGTGCCCGCCAGTCTTAGGTCCATAATGTTGTCCATGCTGCACTCCTCAAGCCTTGCCATCTTTGACCCTCAGATCCTTACTCCTACGGACACCTGCTGTGAGTCACAGCTTCCAAGCACAACAAAAACTGCAGCAGCTTCCAACTCTGAGTCTCCGACCTGCCAGGCCGCTCAACAAGGAATCCATGCCAAGGACCCCAGGGAAAGCTAAAAATGCATAACCATGCTGATTGTTAAGTGATGACTCCTGCATCTTTGGGCCTCCTACAGCCTTGTTTTCAACATATTTGCCCATGTTTTTTTAAAGTTGGAAACAAATTGGGTTGCTGTTCCGCTATTACTGCCTTCAATTCTGTCGCTTACTTAAGCTTTGCAGGCTAAAGGAGTGCAATCCTTTGGATCCTACACCTCTCGGTGAAACAAGCTCCACCGTGAGAGTTTTTGGAAAGGGCCCTCTTCCAAAGGTGCAACGACAGCATCAAGATCGCCCTTTCTTCAAATAATCCATAAATGCCGTGAATATGTCGTGAATATTCATAAGAATCATAAATATATCGGCGAGTGATCACCCATAATCATCAACAAAATCATCCATTAACATCAGATGATCTGCGAGTTGCTTGGGCCCTTCCCTACTCCAAAAGCCTTCCACCCCAGGCAGTATGCCACAGGGCGGTCAGTGATTCCTACGAGGCCAGTGCTCTGCAGCCACGGCGTTCACGTCCGGTGCCTTGGCACAGTCAGAAAGGAGAGGCCGGCAACCCGGAAACACCGGAAAAGAATGGAAAACTAATAAGTTATATATAGTTATATATAGTTATATAATGTTATATACAGTATATAACATTATATAACTATATATAACTTATATAACGTACACTTCAGAAAATCCTATCAAAAAACATCCAAAAACTCTTCGGACTCTTCGGACTCACCAGCTTTTGCTGCTTGGTTGGCTCCCATGAGCATCTGGGGCACAAAGAAACAAAAAAAAAAAAACAGAAAAAAACAGAAAAAATGCAAAGATATACTAAAGTTATCACAAAAGAGAAGGAAAACGGTGGGAAATTCCGGACCCTAAAGTGATGGTACTGTACCCTTTAAGACTTTAAGCCCATATTTTGTGGGGTGATATTCCTACACAGCCCTTACTTACATAGTACATAGGCCTCATTAGGATTCATTCTATAGGTGCCTCCAATTTAGGTTCCTGAAATTGCAATTTTAACATGATCAAAAATGACCATACATGACCTTGCTACGTCCTGCTACAAGTACATCATTTTACATCCTGCTACTGTTCTTCATGCTGTTGATGTAGCAATGTAGCAGACATTCTCAGACTGTATCAGCTTGATACGAGATTCCTCATGTTGCCATACTACAGTTACTACAGCCCCGAGGGCCCGTATCCAAGTAGCTGCAGCCATTGCCTCAGCCATTGCCTCAGCCCATCTCAGCCCCGTAGCTCGGCAGCGCACTTCCGAGCTTCGCGCGCAACGGGCCGAAATGGCAAAAACGACACCGGTTGAACCGTCACTGGCCGTTCGATGTCTCATGACCCAACCCATGATCTCAGCATTGATGCACAACATTGCACAACTCAGTCAGTGGAACATAATGGAACATCATTGCTATAAATGATCGTATTATAAATTCAATCATATTAACCATGGAGCTTCATGAGCACATGTGCTATCTATCCTCCATCCCAATGCCACGGTGCCACTCCCTCAAGAACAGTCAGCAGATTATGCAGGGCACTGTGACACTCTGTGGTGTCTCGTTTTGCAAATGCAATGTGGCTAACGTCTGCTAGCCTGCCTAATTCATCGGCTAATTTTGGCCTGAATTAGCTGATGCTCTGCCCATCTTGGAAGGGTTTCGTTATTTACCGTTATTTGTGGACACCTTGCCAGGCAAAGGGTAAGTCCGTTCCATTGCATTCCGCATTGCCCTATTCGAACAAACCTATCCACTTTTGTGAGGAAGAGAGCAATTCAGATAACAGTTGTGCAGCTTCATGGAGACATTTTGCATCATTTTGCACTCTAGCTGAGTCAAATGTACTCAAATGTGATAGTTCGAGATGGTCCGAGCAGCAGTTAGCAAGACGCATTCATTATGTTAGAAGTCATTGGCATGTGACAAGTGCCAAGTGCTACGCTGAGCCTTTCCAATCTTTCCCAATCAGCATTTCACCATGACATACCACAACAATGCTTTGCAAATCATGCTATCACTCAAGGAACGAGCACAATAGCTTAGCAAGGGAGGGCACTTGTTGCAGCAAGCTGCAGAACAGCAAGGGCTGTTCAAACCGGTGCTGCTGCCGGTGTCATGGGCCATTGGCCCAAATGCAATGGCCTCGGCAGGAATCCAATTGTGCCAGTGTTACAGGGTGCATTGTCATCGTTACTATGTTATCCTTGGATGACCAAATACATCAAAACACCACCTGGGACTGATATGCAACAAATTGCCTGCAACTCCATGTACGTTGCCAAATCTGGTCTGCGCATGTGGAGGCTGCATATCCATGCAATGTCTTGGATGGATGGGAAAAGGGTTGGCGTTGGAATCGTTTGATGTTGCTCCCCTAGCTCAGCTAGGGCTCAAACACTGGCTGCGGTATCACCAAGCCTCGGATCCATGTCGCAACAGCTGAGATTGCTGTTCTCGCAGGAGACTACCAATGACTCGGCGGGTGGAAGGTGAGTTTATGAAGGTCAATGCATGGACCTTCAATAACGTGTATGCAGCTGTGGGAGACAAGGATGGACAAGGATGGACAAGGATGGATGGCTGCTGAACTCTTAGTAAGTGTTACTCTGGTACTATGCCTGGGAGTTGGTGTGGAGATGTGTGGAGTGTGGGCAAAAAAGTCAGCCCTTAGACACACAAGTCATGTCCTTGTTACAGCCACCAAGGTTCCCGACCTGTGGGCGGTCTTAAAGCTGGATGTACCTTAGTGATAGTGGAAAGAGGTGGAACCTGCTGTGTCCCACAAGCCTTTTGCTTCTTGCAATGGCTTATCGATATTTATCAATATATATATATATAACCATTTGCGAGTGTACTTTGCTGACTATTCGAGGTGCGCGCAGCCATCGCACCAGCAGCAGAAGCATCAGCAGCATGGCACTGTCAGTTGAAGACTTCACATCTTGTCATTTGTCTACGCGCTCATACGTGTCTCTTTATGTCTCTTTGACTTCCATTCAGGGCAGGGCCCCTGAGGAAATGAAAGGCCAAACAGACCAGTGACACGGCACGAAGCAATCTCTTGTCGTCAAGTTGCCCGAACCGTCTGAGGAGGTTGGTTGATGACCTGCAAAGCCATGCACTTCCCAGCCCATTCTACCAAGCCCTACGACACGGAACATTCCAGCCTAGGCCGAAGGGATGCAAATGCGAAGACCAACGATGCATGCCTGCTGCTGCGGTTGGAAGTGCATCGTCATGCGCTGCATGAAGCATGCCCCTGGACTTGCGAGACCTGTCACCACCAAGTTGCGCAAGTTGGCTGATTCGGATTGATTCAGTAGGTTGTTCGGACTGTTTGGAGTTGCACCGGGTTGATGACGACTGGTAGTCGAGGGATGCTCCAGTGCAATGACTGCAAGCTCTCCCAAACCAAATCCAATGGAATTTCATGGAATTTCCATAACGCAACTGGACCCATCACCACCTGCTCGAGTCTGCGGAAACGGTGAATAAGTGGCGGCTGCAATGGGTGCCTCCGAGTTGGCGTAAGCTCACCGCACCCAAAATGGAAGAAACCCAGAAACACAAAACAAGGGATGTGCAGAACAAAGTCCAAACATGTGAACAAACAACATAAACAACTCTCTAAACTATGCAAGAATCGGGAAATACCGGGAACCGGGACAGGTTGACAGCTTGGATGCAAACTATCCATAACGATCTACGATCCCACCATGGCCCCACCATGGCCCCGGCTGGAAGCTGTTTTCGAGGGGATGGTGGAGCCACTGCCAAGGCTGTGACATCGGTCTGGGCGACAAATGACGATAGGATTGGACTTGCTTGAAATACCTGCTAAAATCTGCTGAAGTCCCACGCTACAATCTCATGCACATGTGTGAAGCGAGCATGATCATCATGATGCATCACTTTTGCAGCTCTTGAAGCTGACAAAGTGAACTTTCGTGTACAGTATCATGCAGTACTCAAAAAAGCACACACAAATCAAAGCATTTGACCTACATACACATTGTAATCCTACCCTGGGTCAATCGACCGCCCATTTTCACTTTCTGCATCCTCCTCAGGGGCTGGGTTGCAGAACACTGTGGCCCGAGCCCCACTTCAAATCTGGTACAGCTCAGCTGTACCCGCTGGCTGCTTACCAAACATGCTGTTGCTTCACCAGGCTGACTTCAGTCCCGCAATTAAACATGGAAAAGCAAATGGGAAAGTAGTTCAACGTAAGTTCAACAGATCACAAAATAAATCACAATAGTAATGGTATCCCTTGAGAAGCGCAGTGAACATGGAGCCCTTCTGGATATCCCACAGTGATACAGCACTTTCAAATGATGGTGTGGGGCGATCACTACCATCCGTACTTGGCATGGGTCTGCGCCTCCGAAAAGCATCGTGTCAAAGGGCGCATTGCACATGGTATCTTACCGACCGTTGATACATCACAACATATCACAACCAATCCATGCAGCCGGTGACTTGATGGGTTTAAGATGGTTCATGGTTCAAGTACGCTTAAACACAGTTGATCTCAATATGGCCATGATGGCTCCAATGAATCCTGCCTTGGACATGATCTTTTGAGAGCCGCGTTCCAACATTTCGGCTTCCTTCTCCATGGCCTCTGTGGCGAGCCTCAAAGCCATTCGCATGATGGATTATATTGAATCATTCGGCTACAAATGGCCTGCCATCCCTCAGCTGTTTCAATTTACTTCTACGAATCCGGGGAGAGGAATCAAGGAGCTTCGGAGAAAAGGGTGCCCCAATAATTAATATAATTAATACAGAAGTGGTGGCAAAAAGAGTGCCAAGTCCAGGGGAGCTTGCCGTCGCTTGCCACATACTGCAGCCAAGCAGCCAATTGATTTGGTGCTTGCGCTTTTGAACGCGGCTGGGGTTGGCATGTGTCGTCTGCTTCCAGCCTTGGCCATCGTACCTGTTGAGCATGGGGCATTCCTCACGACCCCTTGAAGCAGGGTTGGCAGGTTGACCTGTTGAAGCAATTTTGACTTCGATGTACGGCATCCTCTCCATCACTTCATATCACTTCATCCTGCTACAGCCTGTCCCCAGCGTTTCTAGACTTCCACCCGTCCCCAGGGCGTACATGGAGATATCGTCAGAGACGCGCTTCTTGGTGAGGTATCCTGGGCCTCCAGAGATCTGATTGTTCAGGTACCAGTCCGGATCCTGTGCACCGCATTGCACCGCCACATAGCAAGACTCAGGCGCTTGTTTTCAGAGGTCAAACCAACTACTGAGAACTCAGGGGAAACAAGATTGACGATCTTGAGATCATCTCTTCAGCCACATACACTTCTCCAACCATTTCGGTTTTTGGGAAAGAGTTGCTTGTTAAGTTCTTTGGGAAGGAACCCATTAGAAAGCAACTTGCGAAGCAAACCTTTTCGCAATATTTTCGTAAATCATGTCAGGAAATCATGCGGACAATATACTGCTGGACCTCCTGCAGGAATTGATACCATCAAAATCCATCAAACCTCAGGGATGAAACAAGGCCTTCATGTCTTCTGCATTGACCTCAACAAACTGTCGAGGCTTGCGCCTGAGCTGCACAGTGTGAATTACTTGAGAGCTCAAAATCCATAGTAGGAATCTGCGCTAGTATGAATTTGCACTATACAATGAGTCTGAGTCTTGTTAAGTAGTCAACTTCAGCCCTCCTCCCAGTTCTGGTGCCCGCGCACCATCATGGGTTAACTAGGACCACTAGGACACTAATTGGCAGAAGAAACAATACTGAGAGACAAGAGCAAAAACACGCGTTTGAACGGACAGTGGCGGTGTCTCCAATCAATTGCTTCAGAATCATGTTCCGTTTCGGGTTCATGTCATCGCATGTTGATGGGTGATGGGTGATGGTCACGGTGGATGAACGGGGTCAATTGTCGAGATGGGCTCTTTGATCACAACAGACTTCAGCAACGCAACAACTACAGTTTTTATCACACATTACGGGTTGAATCATGTTGAATCTTCATGCGCTTCATCTCGTGTTGCCAGTTAAAGATGTTAAAGAAGATTCGGTACCTTCAATGTAGGTACTCAAATTTCAGAATGCAGGGGTGATTCCGCTAAAAAATGCTGCTGCAGGTGCAACTCCACAAGGTCTTCCGCTGATGGACCATCAGGTTGAACCCTTGGTGCAGTGGTTGGAGTGGCAATGGACGAATGGGAGTCCAACATCCAATTCGAAAAGATCAAATTTTCGGAGCGATACATGAAACAGGCGCGTCACCGTACGCATAAGAAATCACAGGCCAATGCACACCCGTTGGTCTGGCCAATCTGTCTATCCAAACTCTCTGCCTCTGTCTATGTGTCTGTCCACCAATCCATCTAGTTGTGAGCGTGCTAAGCCTCCTCGGGTCCAAGTCACGCATGTGTGGAAAACATTGGATGGTTCAAGACGTTGGCAGGTACCTCTGCTGCCTGTCGTCCAAACACAGCCAGCCGGAGGGAAAACAATCAGCGTGCCCATGACCAAACAATAGCATCAACAGCCAAACTACTAAATGTACTAAGGACAATGTATCTATTCTGATCCTTTTCTGATATCCTTTGCACCAAACAGAAAGCGTGTCCGCTCCATGCTCTGCGATGCCTCCTCGTCTGGGTCAGCAAAGTTGTCCGGGCGCAGTAGTCCCTCAACAGGCACTTTGCTCTTCTCCCTGCGATCATGGGAGATCACATCACCGAGGCGCAAACTCCCACGATCATTCGGGAATATCATGGGATACAAATGAATATTGGAATATTGGAACAAAAAAATCGTATGCATGTATATGTATATGTATATTTATATGTATGTGTAAATGTATATGTATATGCATATGTATATGTATAAATATATATATATATGCAAATGTATATGTAAATGTGTATGTATGTATGTATGTATGTATGTATGTATGTATGTATGTATGTATGTATGTATGTATGTATGTATGTATGGTAATGTAATGTAATGTAATGTAACGTAACGTAACGTAACGTAACGTAACGTAATGTAATGTAATGTAATGTATGTATGTGTGTATGTGTGTATGTGTGTATGTGTGTGTATGCATGCATGCATGCATGCATGCATGCATGCATGGATGGATGGATGGATGGATGGATGGATGGATGTATGTATGTATGTATGTAGGTATGTATGTATGTATGTATGTATTTATATTTGTGTATGCGTGTATATATGTATGTTGTAGATATATATACATATATATATATAGATGTGGATAGATAGAACAAGAAATCGCAGAATCCCAATGTTGAGGGAGCTGGTTATACGAAACATTCTGTAGTTCAGCATCTGGCTGTAAACGGGCCAAGGACAGCCCGCTTTTTTATAGTATATGCATGATAAGTTGTCACAGAAGATCTCTCCGTATCTCCCTAGTTTTGTTCCATTGGAAGGCCCCCAGGCTCAAAATGTAGCAGCTAAAAATTGCATTCACCTGCCAGCATCTCCCCACGGAGCTGTCGCTGACCTTGGAGGTTTGATCACCTCAGCCAGTGATGTCACACTTCATCATACTTCAGCTATACATACGGGTGGAACATTCATTTGGTATCCCAAAAGAAATTGGACTGCCTGTTTCTCTCTCGAGAGAAATTTTGAAGAGGAGTTGTGCCAAGCCACGTCAGAGAGATCAAGTCTGATGGAGTTGGATGAAGTTTCTTTGCCCAAAGTGACCTGCAACAACTTCGGCTGGGGCTTCACCCCTCTATCAACCGGGTCAACTTCGACTTTCTTGGCACAAAAGATCTCTGCCCTTGCAAGGGGACAGCAATGTGAAGGAATCCAGATGCATTTGGAAGTACTTTGAATTTTGAAGGATCCCAATACAAGAAGCAGTATAGATCCAACATGAACCCATATAATATTTTAATTTTGCCCCCATCTCCAGCCCAAACCCTGTGGAACCTTGGGCGGTGGCAGTGCGGCCAGCAGGCTTTGCCCCACTGGGTTGGCCGCTAGCTGTGCTGCCTAAGGCCGGAACATGGCAGTTTCTTATTCCAGCTGCATACCATTGTCCTTCCCCTTGTGCTGCTTGCGCTTTCAGAATGGCAACATCCAGCAACCTGTTTTGCCCATGTCTGCAGAGAAACCAGGGCAGCCAGGGCAGCCAAGGTCTTCTCTCGGATCTTTCCCAGAAAATTTTTCTATCGACAGCTGTTTCACCTGCTCCAGCTGCACTGGGACAGGCACTTTTTTCAGCGGTGCTTCAACCTCTTCCGCGACTTTGGGCGTCTCCAGATTCAGCGGCCTCACCCGCATGGAAACTGCGAATAGCATCATGTTTCGTGATATTTGTTGTTAAGTCCTCATCTAAGTCCTCAGACGTCCTATATGCCATTGACTGCTGGTATTATATATGTGATGTGTGTGGAAATCATCGGAAATCAGCGTCCAACTCACCATCCCACCCGGCGCCTGGAAGTTGGAAGCTTTGAGTAGTCGATCTGGGGGTGTCAGGTGATAGGATCAGCTTCTGTTTCCGCACTTTTGCACTGATCCCTGACCACCACTACTGTCCAAACTTTTCCAAACTATTCCAAGACTTCCCAGGTGCAATGGCAGGCCCCTCCACGTTGCATCAGCTTCCTACTTACCAGAGATGAGATGATAAGTTTACAAGTGGTACCCGGGCAGCTTATAGCCCATAGAGCGGAGCAAAGGATTCAAAGGACGTGCCTATAGTTGACAGGCAAGCCTCCTGTGCAGCGTAGCAACAGGCTCCTGACTTGTCAATCTGATGCCATGCCTTTCGAATGTTGAATCTTTCCTCATTTCATCTGATCTCATCGCGTCGCAGCTTCTCTTGGAAATTGCTCAGCGCATCCCTCTGTCACCGCAGTCTGTGTCATCCCATCTCTTCTCAACTCATCTCATGTCTTCTAAGTTTGTTTCACCTCATCTCATCTCATCCCATCTCATATCTTCAGTCCCTTTCTCAGCTCAGCTGATCACAACTGTTCTCATCTCTTCTCATGTCACCTGAGCTTTTCTCATCTCTTCTCATCTCATCTCAGCTTCTCTCAGCTTTTCAGATTTCACATCCTCCGTGAATGTGCCCTAGACTGTGGCTGACTGCATTCTATAAACATTTTGGTTTATAAAATGATTCTGAGGGTGCTTTTTTTTTATAGAATGAATCTGAGGCATATTTATGGAATGGTACGGCAAGTTTAAGGATCTGAGATTTCGATGGTTAAAAACCCCCAAAAAATAACTTTATAGAATGAATTGGCTAGTTACAAGTAAAAAAACCAGGAGGAAAGCCAGCAGGACATGTCGGTTTATAGAATGCTATTTCAAGTGCATGTTTGGCCCAAACATTTCGAAACAAGTCTGTTACTCGAATCGAACATGACACTCCATGGGATTTATGGAATGCATCTACCAGGATGGTTAACTTCGATTTAACATCCATTTTTTGGAGCATTTTGGCTTTTATGGAATGAGTTAAAGGGTTGCAAAACCTTGGTTTTATAGAATGAGTAGGGAGGGTTCATGTACTTGCTTGTTCCAGCCGGTCCGATCGATTCCCCCCGAATCTGGGTTTATAGAATGATACCCAAAACTGCATTCCATAAACGACCACAAACTCATTCTATAAAGGTACATTAGCGGGGGATGATTTCACAGCTTTTCCCAACCCTTCTCAACTTTCCGCAGCTCATGTAGGCTCATCTTATGTGTTCTCATCTCTTCTCTCCTCTTCTCACATCTTCTGAGCTCTTCTCCCATCTACTCAGCTGATCTCACCTCTTGTCAGCTCGTCTCACCTCATCTCAGCTCTTCTCAGCGCACTTTCAAATCATCTCACTTAGTCACGACTTAGTCTCTGGCCCAAAACCTGCTCCAAAAACGGATCTCGGCACCAAAGCAAGCAAGCCCTACGCTTTCCACAGAGAAGCTTTTACACACAGCAAGCTTTTGCACAGAGAAGCTTGTACACGCAGCAGCTTTTACACGCAGAAGCTTTTACACAGAGTTAGGGGAGCTTTTATTCACAGCAAGCTTTTACACAAAGCAAGCTTTTACACAAAGATACACAAAGCAAGCTTTTACCCAGTACGATGTCCAGCTGCGAAAGATAATAGTATTACACGCGCAGCCGCGGCGCCAAGCAACCTTGACGCAGCCATTACAATGCGATTTGCCATGCTAAAACACAATAGAACTACGCGCAAACGCGTCAGAAATTCCAGCTCCAAAACCGGATGGATCTCGACGCCAAAGCAAAAAAAGACGATATTGAAGCACTTTTTAAAAGGAATTTTAAAAGGAAAATCATCAGCGCCAAAATTGAGAAATTCTGCTGACAAATCACGATCGCCAACTTGATGCAGCCACACCAATGTGATTTACGATGTCCAGCTGCAAAAGACAATAGTATTACGCACGCAGCCTCCGCGCCAGGCAACCTTGAAGCAGCCATTACAATGCGATTTGCAAAGGCTGAGTTGCAAAACACAATAGAAGTACGCGCAAGAACGTTAGCAAAACGACACCTGAACTGTCAGTTCCAGCGCGCGGCCGATCCGAGCATGATCCCGATTGAATCCGCACCTGCCAGCCGGACAAGTTTCCCCATCCATCTTCTGGGACACGTTTTCTCCAGCAAAACACAGCATTTCGTGCACCCGCGAACTTTCAAAAACACATTTCGTGCGAGACCTTCCTCAAAAAGTGAACGTGGAAGATGTGAAAACGAAGCTTTCGTGCGAAACTTCCCTCAAAAAGTGAAAGTGGAAGATATGAAAACGGAGCTCTCGTGCGAGACTTCCCTCAAAAAGTGAAAGTGCAAGATGTGAGAACGAAACTGTCGTGCGAGACGTCCCTCAAAAAGTGAAAGTGGAAGATATGAAAACGGAGCTCTCGTGCGAGACTTCCCTCAAAAAGTGAAAGTGCAAGATGTGAGAACGAAACTGTCGTGCGAGACGTCCCTCAAAAAGTGAAAGTGGAAGATGTGAGAACGAAGCTGTCGTGCGAGGCTTCTCTCAAAAAGAAGTGAAAGTGCAAGATGTGACAACGAAGCTTTCGTGCGAGACTTCCCTGAAAAAGTGAAAGTTGAATGAAGATGTGAAATCGAAGCTTTCGTGCGAGACTTCCTTCGTTCATTCATTCACTCATTCATTCAATCAACCAATCCAATTAATTAATTAATTATATTAGTTAATTCAATGAATGAATGAATTAATTAATTAATTAATCAATTCATTCATTCATTCATTCATTCATTCGTTCTGTTCAAATTTCAATTTCAATTCAATTCACATTCATTCAATTCAATTTATTCATTCATTCCTTCATTCGATTCAATTAATTCATTCCATTTCATTTCATTTCATTTCATTTCATTCATTCCATTCATTCAATCATTCATTCATTCCTTTCATTCATTCATTCATTCATTTCCTTCATTTATTCATTCATTCATTCCTTCATTCATTCATTCATGCATTTACTCATTCATTAATTCATTCATGTCTTTCTTTCTTTCATTCATTCATTCATTTCATTCATTCATTCATTCATTTATTTATTTATTTATTTCATTTCGTTTCGTTTCGTTTCATTTCATTTCATTTCGTTCATTAATTCATTTCATTCACTCATTCATTTCATTTCATTTCATTTCATTCCATTTCATTTCATTTTTTTCATTCATCCATTCATCCATCCATCCATCCATGCATTCATTCATTCATGCATTCATTCATTCATTCATTCATTCCATTCATTCATTCATTCCTTCCTTCGTTCATTCGTTCATTCGTTCGTTCATTCATTCATTCATTCATTCATTCATTTCATTCATTCATCCATTCATCCATTCATTCATTCATGCATGCATTCATGCATTCATGCATTCATGCATTCATGCATTCATGCATTCATGCATTCATGCATTCATTCATTCATTCATTCATTTCATTTCATTTCATTTCATTTCATTTCATTTCATTTCATTCACTCATTCATTTCATTTCATTTCATTTCATTCCATTTCATTTCATTTTTTTCATTCATCCATTCATCCATCCATCCATCCATGCATTCATTCATTCATTTATTCATTATTTCATTTCGTTTCATTTCAATTCAATTCAATTAAATTTATTCATTCATTCATTCATTCATATCCGTAACACGGAAGTTCTCTCAAATTCTTTCAAACTTCTTTTGACAAATAGAGTTCAAACCTATCTACAGTCTATAGCATATTCACGTGAATCTCATAGGCTTTGTTTCAAGTGTTGTTCTCCTCATTCGATCTTGGCTTCTTGCCTTAGATGGTCCCAACATGCTCATCCATATTTATCACTTATCCATCCAAGTATCATGTTCTTTTGCATGCTTCAACACTCCTCCCGCACTCGTTTGCGAACACTTGTCGCCTTCCGCTTCTTGAGCAGGGCCAAATCTGATGGGTCGCCACCTTGCAGACGCGCGGGGGAAACTGGCAGCAACTTGGTCTTTCTTTGTGCTGGGGAAACTTGAGAAGTATGGGGTGGGTCTTTGCCGAGTAAAGAAGTCCGAAGTGTAAGTAGTGGTCGAACACGGTCGCAAACCCCTTTTAGCCATTCCTGGGAGAACTTGGTTTCTGCCCACTGTGGCTGACTGTGCGTAATAAGGTGTTGAATTCTCCTTAACCCCCCCACCTCATTCAATGCTCTGAGCTTCAAACCATCTCCAGAGGTAGGGGATGCGTCACTGACGAGAGCATCGGCAGCCGCAGAGGTAGGAGATGCGTCACTGACGAGAGCATCCGGAGCCTCGCTGCTGCCGATCAAAAACTGAACATCACAATGGCCACAGCGTGCTGGCATATTCAATCGCACCTGTTGTCCTTCTTCACCACTCTCGTCTCCACTGTCGTAGCCCGCCCCCAAGAGGCTCATGGCTCAGGACACTTGAGAAGTCTTGTCTTGAACTATTCTCAGTCTGGTCCAAATCCATCAAGTCCAGAACAATCAAACGAGTGTAGATAAACTTTCATGGCCAGGTTGTCCAAATATCTGACTCTAAGGGTGCTGCCCACCTATCTTTCATGTGAAAATTTGTAAGGTGGTGATGAAGCGTTTGCAAACTGCTCACATTTATTCAGCATTGCCCTGCGCAGCTTGTCTCAACAATTGAGGGCAAAAAGCTCCGCTGGGAATTGCCCGAGTACTGACCCTTATTGCATCCCTGTGTTTTCAGAGGGATTCTCCACCACATCCTTGGTTTCCTGAGTTTCATGTGCATGCTACAGGCTCTTCAGTCAGGAAATCGACAGCAACATCTCAAAGCATTCTGCGCCTTGTCGAACGCAGTTGGGTCTGCTGACAGTGCGGCCTTCACGCCAAATTACATCAGATTACATCTTCAAAGAGGATATCAATTGGGCAAAAGCTCGGGAATTCATCGGACAAAGGCCATGCCTGGCCACCTGTTGTCGGCTCACTCGGAAGCCTTGGCAAGGCTGGAGAATTTTCACGAGGGGGACTTGATGGCCCACAGTTCTGATAGCTACTTGGAAGTCACGGCCTTTCACTGGACATGAGGCACCACATTTCCATGGTCAGTCATGTCAGGTTCCTGAGGGTACCACCCAACATTTTCCTTTTTGCTTGGCATCATAGGGCTCGCCATCACAGGGTGACATGCACGGACGGGCCTCAGCAGGAACCCCCTGCTCAATGAATTGCAGTCCGTCCCACTGTCACTCAACAGTGGATAGTTGATGGTTTACGCAAGCGTCCTACACGCCTGGCATCATGTTGCCTGCATTGCGTGTTGAAGCGGGAAAAGATTAAGTCAGGCAAATTTGTCCTCAAGGACTTATGCATCACCTGCGAGATTGCCTGAACACTGTACTGTAAAGATCTTCCGAAACTGCCAAGAGATATTCTCAGAAAAATATAGGAAAATTAGTGTGCATATATATATATATATTTATTTAATACTATAGAATACTAATTTAATAACTAATTTAGTATTGCGGCAAGACCCTATGGTTTGCCCGCAAGGTTAGAATGGAGTTTAAATATTATCCTTCGACATGCTCAAAAACCTGCGCATGGCCAGCGTTTTGGTATTTACCAGCCGACGAACCCTAAACCCTAAAACCCTAAAGCCTAAAACATCCTAAAACCCTAAAGCCCTAAACCCTGAAACCTTGAAAACTCTGAATCCGAAAGCAGAAAACACTGCATATACGCAGTATTTTCTGCAATTTCTCTTCTCATGTTCGACGACAGGGAATCCTCAATGTTGCAGTCCGGGCAAACCACGGGGTCTGTGCGTAGTGTTATTGTAGTAATTCTTAGTAACTAATATATTTTTTATATATATTTTTAATTTATTTTTATATATAATATGATCATAGTATAGTAGGATCTTCTGCGGAAGGGCTTAGAGATGCTTAGAGATGCTTAGAGTATTGAAAGTTGGGGCGCCAAGCTGTGCAATCTTCGTCTCCCCAGGCTTCTCCGTGAAGCGCGAGACTGCTATGCGAACCTCCCAAGTAACATTGGCATCAGGAATCTAACCTGGCAATGTTGTTTTATTCATGTTTATTCCCAATTCTGAAATTCTATTATTGTCACCATGTTACACCATGCTACACCCATTTAACAGTTGCCGCACTTAATCCATTGATCAGTCTATTCATGTGTTTGTTCCATTGCTAGCTTTGATCACAATGGGGAATTCTATCATGATCCAGCCTCTTTCAGCTCGGTCCGAACATCCAGCAGCTCTGATTCAACCTTGAAATTTCAGTGTTAGTAAAAACTGTACACAAATGTGGCTCACTCATTTACATTCATTTACCAACATTTGTCGGTGATTGTATCTGATGGATAATAATCTTGACAAATATATGGGGGGCTGCTCGGGTGTAGAAGTATGACTCATTTGACCACAGCTGGCATAAGTTCAGAAACAAAACTTGCAGGGGGCGGGACTTAACTTCAATCTCAAAAGCAGTTGCCAGAGGCTCACATCACACTTGGAAACACTTGGCGCCAGGCAGTTTGCATGCGGCCTCTTAGCTTCAACCCCTGCCATAATTTCAGTCACAGATCTTTCCAGATCTTTCCACCCAGCTCAGGGCGCTAAGGTTTCAGTCGTTGTCGTAGATTTTGAAAGCCACCGGATGGCAACTTGTATTGTAGAACTTGGGAGTGGGTACCAAGCATCCACTCGCTCCTTCGGCAGTCGATTAATACTGCCACTGAAATTCACTGAAACGATTGGCCTCCGAGCTGCTGGCAGGTTGCCCAAGCTTCAGTGCCTGGCCAGTGCCCAGGAGTGCCTGACCCCTCGAAATCGACGTACGGAAAAGAACCAGAAAATGGAAATACCAATAGAATAGAACTGCGATTCTATAATGATTAAGATGAAGTGTGATGAAGTTGTGGGCAGCACCCTGCTGGTGCTTTCTCAGCCTTACATGCTTGCAGATATACTACTGTAACTAATTACATCATCTACTTACATCCACTTACAGTATATACCCCCAGAAAAGCGTATAAAAACGGTATCCAGAGCAGCACATACCTTTTAGTGCTGACAGGTTTTGAATGATACACAATTATACCAAACATTACCAAACAAGAGAAGCACGGCTCTTCAAAGGGGGTCGCTGCTGCACCTGCTCCACTTGCGACAAACGGTGTTTGAGCTCTGTCAAATCCTGGCGAGTCCAGCTGAGTGAGGCTCAGCGCTTTGGATTGGAGGCTGGTCATGGCTTGGCAACAGGAGTGGCATGTCATCATATTGTACGATGGAACATCGTGTGCCGCTTCATTCCCCGGGCCTCGCGCTGCAAGTTGGTAATATCAGGCAGGACCTGGGCTCCGCTCACAGGTGTTACTATGTTTTCGGAAGGATCCAAAACAAGATGCATGAAAGATCATGAAAGTATATGTAATATGAAGATACTAAAGTTTGCAGGTGACTGGCGCACAAACCCACCATCTTTTTCACACCTTTGCCTCTATGACTTGCATTGACTTGGCAACGTCTTACCGTGCCTTGCTGATGAACCCGCCTTGCTGACGAACCAGTTGAGCGGATCAACAGTAAGTAACAACAAATCAAGGCCCCGTTGGTCATCTTGGTCTTCCTCCATCATCTGACTTCCACACAACTGGCAAGCCAATTCCCTTCTCGGTCCTCTTTCAATGTGTTCAACACCCCAAAGCACCAGGGCTTCAGCTGCTCGAGCGTTGCCAGGGCTGAACTTCATCATGCTTTGCAGCCCGTCACCTGTTGATCGCGACTCCCTAAGAAAATGAACAAATACCCCTTGCATGTGTTGCATGGTTCTACAACATGCTTTTGGGCTTTATATACGTAGGATACAGACTCCCAACGAAACAAATGACAACTGAGGGATGCACCTCGATTGCATGGCCTTGGCTTGCACACTGCACAGAGCTGCCTGGTCCTGTCTGTGACAGGCACCCAAGCATTAAGATGCATTTAGTCATTTAGTATTTAGATGTATTTAGATGTGTTTAGATGTATTTAATTGTATTTAGATGTATTTAGATGTATTTAGATGTATTTAGATGTATTTAGATGTATTTAGTATCTTCTAGATATTTTAGCTGGGCACTTGGGCAAGAAGTAAGTGGTCACTGTTCCTTTCCTTCTGGATTGGAGATGAAACCTCGCAAGCAGGGCAACCGCACGTACATGGAGATGCCAAAGGCGGTGACACCTGGAGAGCGCGGAGCGAGGACTCCAATGGATCAAAAAACTTTCTACGTGTCAATGTATCTAGGGCGCTTGGAGGCAGTCTCCAACCAACTATCATCAACTATCGTCAATTAAAATTCAACTACTGGGAGACGGTCAAAGACTACTTGGCGTCCACAAGAGAAAAACCCTCAGCCATTGGAACCTTGATGCACGGACTCGAGCGCGCGCTGGGCGGCCGAGAGCCTTGGTAAAGCCACAAATCAACAACTTGGTAACGCTCGCTACGAGCCACACCGAGCGCCGAGATTCCCCTGAGCATCCTACAAGCTCCATCAAAGCTCAAGGCCTTGGCTCAATGCAGAGATGGTTTGGGATGTTGAAAGATGTTGAAAGATGTTGAAGGGATTTACAATAATTTGAAAGGTACAAGGCTTTAGGGTCTGAGATGGTTTGGGCAGTGCCGCCAACGATGCAGTCCCACCCAGGTGCCCGACTGCGCCCATCTGCCGCACCAAGCTTTGCGCCTGCCGTCAGCAAACGGCTCACCATGACACCAGCGCCTGTGTGGGAATGATTGGGGAATGCCTTCTGGCATAGGAACTCCACTTGCTCGCTGCCCCGTGGAGACCTCACATGGCATCGAAGTGATGGACGCGGTATGATGCGGTGAACCGTGGCGCTAAATCGAGGCACCATACGTCACCCATATGTCACCCTATTGAGTCGTGGACACCTCCAAATCCTCGGTTTCCACCTCAGTGAAGCGAACAGGCTCATAACAAGTGCTTGTGACCAATAGAGCCACCCGCAGGTTCAAACTTGAAGGCACATAGCCCTCCTTTGTTGGAAGGTCTGAAGTGTGGCGGCCCAGTCTGAGAGTCTCAGAGCAGCACCGGTGGCAGGGGGCCACCCTGCGACAGCCCCTGAGGCAAAGACAATGCGCCCCATCTGTGGTATTGTTTGATTCTCAATGTGTTCAAATGTGAGTTTATGACTGCAATCACAAAATATCACAAAACCATACAATACATGATCACTGGCCTAAACTTGTGGGTCTGAACAGACCACATCAACGGCCCAAAGTTGTCGAGCCTGAAAGTCTTCACTGCCCGTGGTACTGATCGGAACTGAACTTCGTGGATGACCTAGTGCAGGTCATCTCTGGCATTTGAAAGCTACATTTGTTTACCCATGTTGAACCATGTTGCCTGATGATTCAGCGTTGTATATCATCATCGTTCAGGGTATGAGGGTGTTTTATCAGGTTCCGTCAGCAGGTTAGAGGTTACCATGGAACAGCCAAGCTCAAAGCTTGAAAGCCCTCGCACCATCTGTCACCTACATTCCTTCCTCACTACAAGTACCAAGGCCAAGAGTTCCCAGTTCTGCCCTCCAAGCAGCGCCTTCAGGACAGGACCTGACACGGCACCAACCGGTTGGCATGTGCATCAAAAGTATTATATAAGACTTCGGACACAGATTGAAGCAAATTAGTCCTTCAGAGGAACTTTACCCAAGATCTGCATATGGAATGAAACTTCAAATCACAATCTGCATCTCTCTACATCAATCTACTCCACACCCAAGCCACTTCCGAGACTCCACCTTGCGCTTCCGTCGCAGCTCATGCGCCGCAGCTCCTCCCCTGGCGAAACCGGGGCGAAGAAACCAACGATAGATAACCCACATTAGATTAACCACAATAGGTAGCCTTTTCTTAGGAATGTCATAGAATATCATGTGTGATAATTCTCCCCCTCCCTCCATCGCCATCTCGCCATATATATACATATATATATATACATATATATGTGTATATATATATATATACGTATATACATACACAATAAGTAATAATCATACACCTTTTTAAGTAATCTACCAAAATGATGCGTCATTAGAATGAACTGTCATAATGGATGACGATTTAGATATCCGATCATTATCACGGATCACAACCAAATATCTATATATAATAATGATTCCTGTCATCAGTCGCACAAGTCGCACATCAGCCATAGTGATGCTTATAAATCCTTATGATCATTCTGGCGGTCACAGTGCGGATGTATAACTTGTTGAATAGTATACTCATCATTGTGATGAATCACACATCATGAATCATGGTATGGGTCAAATTTTAAGGCAACGTGGAGCACACATTGACTTGTAATTTTCTGCAGCTCATCTTTTCCGCACTGCTACTAGACCGAGGCTTGTGAGCCAGGGCAAGAAGCATCTGCAGCTTGGATCAGCGGAGGTTGCTGAAGCGACTTTTCTTTAGTGAAAGACTTTGTCACACTGATCCGACAGCGGTTTCTCCCCAACATGCTTCGACCGAGAAAGAAAGCAACCAATGACATATCTAAAATGGGGCTTCATCAAATCCAATATAATTTTCAGTTGAAGCTGCATCTTGCATCATGCCCTTCCAGATTCCAGAAGCTGGGATGAATGAATCCCAACAGTAGTCATGGGGATTCATACGGTAAAACTTGGAGCAGCGGTGGCAGGTTCGCAGCCAGTTTCGGCCGGAGCTGAAGACCAGAGACTACATGCGACAATTCATCGGCATTGTGAGACTACCACTTTGACTTTGACCAATCACTTTTCTGCTCCCAGCTACGGTTCCCTTTCTGACTTTTCTGATGCTCCTGTCTGTAAGGGCAGTGGCGCTGAAAGTGGCCGACCTCACCACAATCGAAGCCTCTGCAGAGCTCGATGGCACACGGTTAGAACGGGCAAAGGACTCAAGAAAAAATAAACGAGCAAGATATTGACGCCCATGAAAATCCGACAAAGGAGCCTATGAAACTCGTGACATGCGTTTTCAGGGTTCATGAAGTGTTCATGAAGTTCTTCTTGCAATTTTCATCGCAATGATGAAAATGATATTGTCACCAAACGATTCAGGGCGGTTCATGTGCTACGAGTAGGAAACAAACCTGGCACTGTGCACGGACAAGTTGGAATCACGTCATGGAATTATGATATATTATTGTATTATGATCAAATAACCTGTCGCGGAATTGAATAGCAATTGAGTTGACAAAGCATCTTGTGAGAGCCCAATGCAACAGCAATGGCCTTCCAAACTCCATTCAAGCAAGCTGATTCTCATGCTTTAATTTACTGTTGACCAGCTTCTAGTCTAATTTTTGGATAGCTTGGAGCTCGGCCTTGTCCCACCCAACATCCCAACAACTGCCGTTCAAGGAGCATTTCTCTTTTTCGCCCTTGGAAGCACCCTTGAAAGCGGTGTTGGGAGCCTCCCGAGGAGCCCTTGGGGCCCTTCCCCCATTTCCACTTCTCTTCGAACAAAACTTCGCGATGTGACCAGTCTGACCACATTCATAGCCTGAGCTGTGGGCGCCCCTGAAGCGGAAACGCATGGCTGCATGGAAACGCCAAAAAGCAGATTTGAAAAAATTGAAAGAAAATAAAGAAGCCGCTTCAAGCACCCAGTGTGCTCCAAATTTAGCTTCTTCACATGGGGTGCTAGGTATTTTTGGATTGAGTTGATCTTGTCAACTCAGGTAACATGAACAGAAACCTGAAAACACCCTTGCCTGTGTTGTTCGCAAAACCTCTCAGCCATTTCTACAGTTCCAGCAGGTATTCTAGTGTCGCCACCACCACCACCACCATCATCATCACGATCACCGCCATCACTACCATCGCCATCATCAAGATTACCATGAAAGTGACCATCAACCTGGCCATCAACATTACCATCATCATCACCAGCATCATCACCATCAACATTACCATCAACATGTAAATCAAACACTATGGTGACCATAGTCACCCACCATCGTCATCATGGACGTCCACTATCGTCCACGATCGTTACCATCGCCACCAGCATCACCATCGTCACCAGCGTCACCATCGTAAGCATTCAGCATTGCCAGCATTGCCATCTTAGGCCATCACCCAATCTCAATTCTGAAGGAGGCCTTGAGCCTTTGCATGCCTAGGGACAAGCTTCGTCCTCGTCAGGTAGTTTGCCCGAAACCAGCCAGTCACTGTACATCTGCAGCACTGCATCAAGGAGATCGTGTGTCTGGACAACAGCTTCGTCCAAATTGGCCTGACATGGCAATCACCACCCTAAGGGATGGACAGGGACATCCTGAGACTAAGGGAGGAGAGCTAGCAGCCCGATCTACGATCGCAGACGATCGCGGACCCAAAAGTCGAAAAATAAAGAAAAATGCGCTATAGAGATGCTAGAGCTGCTAGAGAGACCTGGTCAAGGCAAGAAAACAACAGCTGGCACAGTTGAGGAAGTTGAAGCTCTGCTTCACCGCTTGGTTTGAATTGAACACACACGTCTGATCACGTCTGCACCAGGGATCAAGAAGGATTGCTTTTGTGAAAGGAGCTCCTGCTGCATCAGACAAGCTACAGTACATGTGTAACGAGTGCAAGTGAATAGTTAAAGCCATTTACGTCATGACCTAGTTGCTTTCAGGCCTCATAGATTGTTATATTATGTGTGTCTGTGTGCGTGTGTCTCATCTGTCTGCGCTGTCTGCATCATTCAGCTAGTGCGGCCAGTGCGAAGCATAGCACTCTAGGATCAATCGTTGGCAGCAAACCCCATTGAAAAAAGAGGAAAAGATAGGAAAAGGACTTGCCTGGCTGTCACACTGCACACGGATGTGGAGTGGCTCGTCTGCTTCTTGGCCATCCTTCTCCTTTCAAGATTTCAAGCGACAGATTAAGGGGCGTGAAACTCCAGAGTATGTCCAAACGAACGTCGCTGGCTTAGAACCACAAGCTCAATGAATACCAATGAATGCTTGAACATGTTTTACCATCAACCTTGCGCTGCGCGGCTTGTATTCGACCCTGAAAGGAGCCACTCATACATCGCGTCTACGCCCTGAAGGTCAATCCGGTCCTTGAAACCAGAGCCACGACCACAAAGCCATACCCAGGCACCAGTCTCTTTGTGAATGTGCTTCACATTCCGGCCACCTGCGAACAAACTTCCAATGCTCAAGCAAGAAATTTTAGAGTATACAGATTGGAAGTGCCACCGATGCAAGAGAAACACTTCCATCCACATTCAGGCAGCAAAAGAACACAATAGGAACGAAACGATGCGAGTCTTATGAGTCTTGGTGGATAATGAAGAGATAAATGAGATAAACAGAATGATGAACTGGGCATCCATACTTCCCCCCAATTGACTTCACCAGTCTTTGCTTTTCCGGGACGAGATCAGTTCCAGAAATTTCAAACATGGCCAGTTGCCTCTCCCAATCAAACGCGCTGCCAAGGGGAAATTTCGATCAATTTCTTCTTGAAATGTGATCTTGTGCCTGGGATCAGGGACAGGAATCAGGAAGAAGGAAAGCGCTGGAAAGGGGATCAATGGAGTCGGCCATACCTTCAACGGTTTTTGTGAGTGGTGCAAGTGGAGGGCGGCAAATCATACAACGCAAAAAAAAAAACTCAATCACAATTCATCCCCAAATATCATACAACATTAATTCGTCGCATGCATCCTTCCTGACTCATATTGCTCTATAGTCTATACCCCTATAGGTTGACAATAGTGGACCTAAACTATCATGAACCTTCCATATCTTCCATGTCTGGGGGGTGTCAATGTCGACATGTCAACCATCCCCAGGCGATCCCAGACGTCAGGTGTCCCCAGGTGTCCCCAGGTGTCATCCATGCGGGCTCAGGTGCATCAGCTGAAAGTGCTTGTGCGACGCCAGCTCCGGGGGAAGCTCATGGTTTTGACCTCAGCCGCGGTCATCAGCACCCGTACCATCCCGTACCCATAGAAGGGGATAGCTGTTCGGTCTAACATGACCAAAACAGACTTATAAAGCATCAAAAAACAAGTGTGCAAACATCTGTGGTTTCGCATGTTTTGACTTTTTCTATCTTTTTTCCTCCTCCTTACTAATCACATCGTCCAACTTGTTGGGTGAAAATACCACTTCTGCTGCACCTGAAGCCTGGCACACTGCACTGCCCAATGCCGCACAGTTTCTGCGCCAATCGTCCCACTTCTCATATTGGTCCCATTGGTCATGGCCAGTGCGACTGTTATTTCGTGAGTCGTCCCATCGATCGTCCTGGCGATCGCCCTTTCCGCCCTTAGTCCGCTGAACGCAGTGGCGCAACCTCTACATGGACGCTTGATCCAGACCCTCCAAAGCATGACTGCAACATCAACAGTGTGCAAGGGTGGCCATGGCTGCAATTGACAAATTTGCGGTTTTGCATATTTTTAAGTATGTTTTGCTAGTTCGGTGATATTCAAAGAATGAAATTTCACCAAGCATCCTTAGCTTTTCCCTTGCCTTTTCCCTTTCCCTTCCGCTCCTCACTGCCTGATGCAAGAATGCTGATGCGACTTGTTGCGACTTCTGCATGGGTCCAACATGGTCCAACATGGTCCAACCACTTCCCTTGCTCGTGACTCAATGCATCGATACCATGTATTGCTTCTCTATGCCCCAACTCGGCCTTTTTCTTCTGGCCGTGGGCTCTTCCATGCGCTGGCATGGCTGCCTTGTCCTTTCCTCGGCGCATCTTTGCACATCTTGAATTATCAGCCTAGATAGAACTCTTTGCGCATAACGCGGTAGGACAGAATGACCCTTTTTTACTGAAAGCCGCCGTGGAGCCATTCTCATTCTACTAGGCATACCTTAGACCTTGGGTGCTGACTGGCACACACACGCACACACACACACGATTAAAAGGAATAAAAGGGGATTAGGAAATAGTAGGAAACTGCTGTCCAAGGATCCCATACTCAGGTCCGTCTTCATGGGGACGTTTGCGCGGTGGCGGGCCCTCGGGCGGATGCGGACTGGGCACAGTGATACTGGGCGGAGGAGGCGGCTCCGGCTTTTGCCCATCGTTCTGCGCCAGCTGCAACAGCTCCTTCACCGGGATTTTGAAGGTCAAAAATGGGCCAAATATTAACCGGTGCTTCCACAAAACCTTTCAAAATCATTCAAGCCAATCTTCAGTCGCCCTGGTGCTGCGCCGGGCCAGGCTACCACTCCGTCCACTCCGTCCACTGGACTCCTTGGCAAAGCGTTGCGGGATGCCGAGAGCCTGAAGCTCTGCAACCTGGACCAGCCTGGCAACGGCCATAACGGGTAAGCACGGAAAGCGTGAGACCTTCTGAATCCTTCTGAATCTTCTCAGAAGGTCGGAAAATGTCGGAATAGGTGAGAGTGGTGGCAATGCGTTTCAGACGTGGTTCGACGCTGATACGCTGAGTAGCTGAAAAGGTTACAACCTTGCAAGGGGTAGTACGCTGATACGCTGATACGCTGTTACACTGTTACGTTGTTACCCTGATACGTTGATACGCTGATACGCTGATACGCTGGTACAGGGAAACGACAATGTCACGCCTAAGTCATGCCTAGCGTGTTTTTGAATGGCATTTACCATTGTAAACGCTGTATCCAAGAAGTCATGCCTAAGTCATGCCTAAATGCTTTTCTGCAAGGAACGCTGTCCTCAATAAAAGTGTAGCCGTGCATTTTAGACATTAACACAAGGTGAAACACAATGGAACGCGATTGATGATTTTTTTAATCAACGCTGGGATTCTGCATCAATATGGTTCTATTCTCTGGGTCACTTCGGCAATTTCACAAATTGTCAGACTTGTTGTGGCCACTCTGTGGTGCGCAACAAAGGTTGCAGGACTTGTAGGGTTCAAACATGGGGGGTAAAAGCCAAGCTGGAAGTGGCCCCTGACGATGCCAAAACGATGCCTAGAAGATGCCTAGACGATGCCCGAAAATGAGCCAGGACAGGTTTCCCCTTCAGAACCCTCAAAATCTACACGGGCAACTGGAAGAGACCCCAAACAGTGTGGACGGTAGGAAGTCAATGTAAGCAACTGGAGCTATGGAACAGTAAAATATTAGGTTAGACATGATCGCAACTGCAGCAGCAAGACCGGATGCCCAGAGGAACTTTAATACAAGCATGTCCAAACATGATGGCTTCTGGTGGGCGAACCTTCAACATGCCTGTACGCTGTTACGCTGTTACCCTGATACGCTGATACGCTGGTACGCTGGTACGCTGGTACGCTGTTGGGTTGATACGCTGATACGCTGTTACGCTGATACGCTATTACGCTGTTACACTGATACGCTGGTACGCTGGTACGCTGTTGGGTTGATACGCTGATACGCTGTTACGCTGATACGCTATTACGCTGTTACACTGATACGCTGTTACGCTGGTACGCCGGTACGCTGGTACGCTGTTGGGTTGATACGCTGATACGCTGATACGCTATTACGCTGTTACAGCTGATACCCTGTTACGCTGGTACGCTGATACGCGGATACTCTGAAACGGTGTAACCGGTGCGACGGTGTAACGGTGTAGCCGGTGTAACCGTTGTATCCGGTGTAACCGGTGCAACCAGTGTAACGGTGTAACCGGTGTAGCGCAAAATGCTGGACACTACTTGCGTCAGCAATGGAATGAGTTGCAATGCTTTTTGCAATGCTTTATAGATTTTTCATGATCTTTCTAGACTTGAGTCAAGTCAACTGAGCCGCTACCTATAGCAAAGTCCCTCGCACCGTGTTGGTTTGACGTGATACGAAAGAACGTCCAAAACTCCATTTTATTTACAAAAATGGCAAGCTAGCGGTGAATTGATTCTAGGTGACTCCCTGTGAAAGCCACTGCAAGGATAATCATTTGCTGGATTCGTTTCATACAGCTTCAACTCTTGTGCAGAGGCACGCTTCTTTCAATAGTAAGAGTCCAGATGCCCTAACTTCGGCGTGTCATAGACTCCAACATTTCATGCTTTCACACAAGCTTCTGGCTTATCTCACCTAGAGGTCAGGACTGACAATCGATTTCTGATCGGACCAAACTGGATCAACATGTCGAAGAATACTACTCTACATGATGGGCTTGAGGTAGTGCATGGCTGGCCAACCCTGCCAAGCCGCTTCAGGCTATCCACGCTGTCATACCAGTTCTCCTCCAGGATTGCCAAGTAAGGCTCAGAATCTTCTGCTTTGCGATTCAGCCTCTTGGCCGTCGCCTGCGCGACAGGTGATTCTACCGTGGAAAGGAATGATCCGGGATGATCCCGGGTGATCCTGGTTCCCTCACATATAGCAGCCTTAAAAATGATGCGTTTTCCCAAAACACGAGAGTGAGACAGAAAGGACTGGGAGTCTCTATCACTCTTTGCTATAACATAATTCAATATAATTTGTAGATGGAGTGAGGCACTCACATTCACCCGCACCTTCAGCAATTCTCTGAGCCGCGGCGATGCCACCATTGCAGAGTTAAGCCTGGATAGAATAGGACAAGCCAAATTCACTTCTTGGCTGGGTGCTGAGGCACATCATCACGGCAAAAAATTATCTGGACAGCTAGTGAGTGGCAGCTACACACTTGAGCCCAAGGGGTCTGAGTGGTTGGCTTGCTCAAAAGCTTGCTCAAACAAGTTTTGCTTTGTTCACTCTGATCTGCGGATTGTTCGTGACTGAGCTGATTCTCATGAGTGCACCTTGAGGCTTGAGTCAACTGCGGCGAGAGGTGAGACGTGGTGACTGCTTTCAAGCAGACTGTGTGGTTGATTAATGGCACCCGTGCAATCAGGGCCATCGACAACCTAGAACTAGTACCCCGAAGTCTCAAACATGTCCAAACCGTCCAAACCAATGTGCACCCCATGCATCCCCATGCTACACACTGCGCACCTGTCATGAGAGCGGCTGCACCTGCCGCCTTGGATCAATCTGTCAACCCATAGGACGTCACAAATCGTGATAGGCCCATAGCGCAGAGGGATGGAGAAAGTGGATCGAGATTTGCCCATACCAAAAGCATCCAAAAAGCTAGGGCAGATCGCCAGCTTGGCCCAGAAGCTTGCAGCATGCTGAGAAGGAGAAAAATAAATCCGGATCCAACTGAATCCGGATCCAACTGCCCTCGCAGATCATCCCGGCTATCTGAATTCCGAGTTTCGAACTCCTGCCGGGATGCGTTGTCCACCATGCCTCAGGCAAGATCTGCTGCAAAACTTTGGAGTTAGGTGACAATATGTGACGTAGTTGGTTCATGTTGATTATCCGTGAATATTGGCTGGCCAAATGATCTTCAAGGTGTGGCTGTACAGGATCCAGCGGTGAGACCAGAATACACCGCGACGCAGCAACTTACCTAAAACCAGCGCCACTTAGCCATCGGCACGACCAAGGATGTAGTGCTGGTGCTAGGTCTTGGTGGCACAATCCCTGATGTGGAAAACCACCGTGTGAATATACAACACTATGAAATGGTAATTATATACCATGAAAACTATTGAAAACCCATCAAAAAAAACAACCCACGCAGCATGCAGCATGCAGCATACTTGGGGTGATGATACTTGTCTCACATGGACTGCACGCCAGCTGCAGAATCCCACCAAGGACAAGACGTTACCGCCCCGGATCGCAATGTCACAGTCTTGCTACCCAAGGATGGGCCTATAGTGACTGCTGGATGGCAAGCATGGATTCGGAGATTTTGCTTCATCAATCCCTGGTTTGGCAAAATGCATCGCCCAGCAGCTTGCATCTCGAGTGTAACTTTTGCTCGGTTTGGCGTACAGTACTTGAAAAAGACTACAATGATTACTGAATGTATGCGCGGTTCTGTGCCGGGCGTTGCGGAATTGCATGGAATTGCTCAGAATAAATATATAAACATCAACAGGGTCCATGATGAGTTGGGATCGGGCTGGCCCATATCTTTTGAGATGTTTGAGCCGTCGCCACTTCACGAGGTGCAGCTTCAAAGTCCCAGGGCTCTTGCCGCTATGCTCACTGCTTCCACTGCTGCTGCCACTGTCACTCGTGCGGCCTGGCGCTACTGAGCTGGCAGTGTTGGATGCAGACACAAATGCACATGCTGGAGTCTGCTGGAGATGGTGGCATAGGTTGGTGATAAGGTGGTAAAAAAGCATCCGTGACTTTGGTTCACTTTGCCAGGAGAATTTGTTGCTGCAGCTGTTCTGGCCTTGGTAACGGTACACATATAGCGGAAAATCACATCTATGGGGCAACAGCCACTTTTGTGATCTTCAGCATGCAAGGCGGCTTGGTGTATTTCATGCCAGTTGCCCCTTCACGACACTTCATCATTAATGAAGTCGTTCTTATGGTCAGCAATGCTGCACTTAGGAGTGTTTCTTGTAAGGCTCTGACAGGAGGACTGTTCCCCAGCAATGGATTCGGTCTACGCTCACGGGCAGTGCTTCGGACCTGTTGAGCCACCGTTGCTGTCGTAATCAAATCGTTCGCCTTCTCCGTCCAAAAGTGTGCTTGTGGCAAGCTTCAAAGTATATCAACACAGTTCTCATATTAATCATATTATATAAAGACTTGAAGTGTACCAGGGCATACCCGTAAGACAAAGAAACTCTGTGGTGGATGCCACTGAGGTTCCAGCAGAACTTGCAGAGTGTTCTCGCAAGGCCTCAGCAGCAATGACACCGAAAATGCACAACATGACACTACACACACTACACGCACTACACACGCCACACAATGCATTGCATGAGATGCTGGGCTGTTCGAATCTTGGAGGCGCTAGAGGAAGAAGATGTCAAGGCCGATCCACCTGGTACATACAGCCATGTCAAGCCGTCAGATGCGAGGCATCACATGATATCGCGAAGATATCGCATGGGGTTGCGGGGAGTTCCAAGGCGCACTAGGAGCGACAATGATAGTCGGGTTTAATGTATCTTGCAACAAATGCCGAAGCGTAAAAGTTGATTCAAGGAAGATGAAAAGTTCACACCCGAACCGTCAACTCCCCCCCCAGGCCACCGCTTCGCTTGCCAGAAACCAACCTGTTCAACGATGTTCGGCGTGTCGTTTCCCGTGCATGTTAAGCCAATCTAGGGAAAGGGTGAAGCAAGAAGTTGTACAAGGAAGAGTCAACTTGCGAGCATTAAGTTGTCGAAGGTATACCAGGTGTACTCATATTGCATCATCCTCAAGAGCGCTTCAACCTTGGATTGGTATGGCAATGCTCTGAAGCTCTTGAGACTCTTGTCTGAACTCCTGCCGTTTCTGCCTCATCAAAGCCTTCTGATCTACGTGATTTCTAGTCTCCAGCGTGAAACATCTCAAGGCTGGAATTCGATCCGTTTCAGTGATGCTGGGCCAACAAATGCAATCAAAGTTCCTTGTCGTGGCAGTTTTCTTTCGATTGAATGGGCCCCTGCCTTCCATTTTGGCTCGGCGGTCTTTCAGGATGGTTCTCATCCTTGGGCAGTGACATGCCTATCGGGAGAATGATGCACAAGTTCATCCACCTCCATTATGTTGATCTCTCCAAAATGGAAGTCTCGCTGCAACTGGCTGCAACCCCCGCAATGAAACAATCACAACCTTTTTGTGTTGGTTTTCCAATTTTGGTTGGTTAGACTAATTTATCACTTAAGCTATCCGTTCTTCAAATCTGAAATCATCCATGGATATGCATGGTCGCTTCTCCACTATGTCGCGCCATGTCGCCCCTGTCAGCAGCTGAGTTTTGAACTCGTGGACCAAAGCGAGGTGAGATTCTTTCCAATGGCCTTGGATGTGGCAATAAGAAAGCGTAACATCGGAGATCATGACTAAGATGAACAAATATGCTGTGTGTTGCCAATGTCTTTTGCCAAGGCCTCATGTTTTTAAACCTATAGGATCCTATAGGCTTAAATAAGCAGCCCTCGGCTTAAGTCAGTTTTTCCATTTTTTTTCCTGCGTTTCTTTCGTCAAGGGGAATGAAATCTTGACGAACAAACATGCCGGGCGAAGCCAAACTGGAAAATCGCACACAATGCATCACAATGCTATAAATGAATCACAATTAATTATGGATAATCGAAATGCCTGATGCCATCCCTGAAGGTCTAATTCAAGCCTCCAATATTCTAGAGTATCCGTTGGCGTGCCACTGCCATGTCATGTGCCGTCTGAGCCGTGCACTTGTGCAGATTGTCAGCGGATACTGATCGTGGAGTGGACGACATGTATGGTGCTGCTGGCGGATTGCCACCTTAGGTGCAAATGAAATGGGAACAGAACCAGTTTCAAAACTCCAACTCACTTAGAGGTCTGATACTGTCCAATTTGGTTTAAGAAACGCATTTTTAAGTTCTGCACGCGGCGACAGGGGTGCCCTTCAAACATGCAATTTTTGGCAGCGACTCTAAGTTTGAGTGGTTTACTTCACCGTGTGGCCTTGGAGAGAGCTCCACGTCGTCGTTGTTCTGCCTGGGGCCACGCTGCGTGCGCAACACAAGTGCAATAAACATTCATAAATAACCAAACACTGTCTGATGCAATGTGAGGCCATCATGGGCCATCCACGTCCAAACACCTGCACGTTACAATTACAATTACAATTGCACATGCATATACATATACATATACATATACATGTCCATATCCGTATGCATAAGCACATGCGTATACATATGCATCATGATTTTATGTAATCATGTCAAAGAATTTCTGAACGTTTCTGCGCGTTATTATTTGTTACTACAACTGTTGGTTTCGCAACCTCCGTGTCCATCAACTAACCATGGACATGTTTTCAATTGAGATCTGCTTCAAAATGTTGAAACCATCCGTCCGCGCGCTCTTTCATTCCCAGGGATCTTGCAACGACAATCTTGGAATAATGTACCGGTCTGACCTCAAGAAACGGAAAACAAGGTATTCATTGACATCTTCGTTCTGCTATGTTTGAAAAGGAAATAATTAAGCGATGGGCGGTGACCGCGAACGGTTTGTGTTCCTGCCAACCTCAGTGGGTGAGATCTGGTGGGTTGTTTGGAACAACATGGGGCAACCTCCTTGCTGGGAACCACCTCTCACAGATACGTCTGTAATGACTCAATGACGTTTGTTGAAAACAACTCAGATACCGACTGATGATGTGACACCGGCTGACGCAGCCATGAGTGACCAAACGTCAGCGATGTTTAAAAAACAAAACGGAATCATTGCCATGTTAAAAGACACTTCGCGTTTTTCCATTTGACCAAAAAAATGCGCCAACTGCCAAAAATTGGATTTATATTTTACATGGCGCATTTGTGAATGGCATTTTTTGCACATGCGTTCCGAACACAAAAGTATATTTTTGTACGTCCGATAGACACGGTCCACATGTCATGTCCCAGCCGCTGCTGGTCATCTGTGAGTTTTTTTCTGCTTGAACCAGCAAATGTAAAGATCAATGAATGACGCAATGGCCGGACTACACGCGCTTTGCGGTCGCGTTTGCAACCTGATAA